GACGAGATTCCTTTGGGATTGATAAATAATTCTCTGTTTGCATGCCATGGTTTTTATCCCTGCTTTGCACAGCAGGATCTCCCGGTGCTGCCTCCCTGCTGGGCAGCACGGGAGCATCTCCTGCAGCTCTGTTCAGCCCCAGGGCTGCGGGTGGAGAGCAGGGAGCAGGGCATGGAGGTGGAGGAGCAGCAGCGAGCAGGCAGCGCTCGCCTTTGAGCACTTATTTGATTTGACACTGTCCTCAAACACAAGGTCATTTACAGCCTGCCGGGGCTGCCAGAGGAGGAAGTTACCTTGCGAAGGAAGGAACCAGCCCATGCTGTCTAAATATTGCCAATTGTGTGCTGAATGGAGGCCACAGCCTGAGGAACCTCAATAGTAGCTCTTTGTGTCCCCGGCTGCCTCCTGCCAAAGTACTTTCCAGAATTAGGAGTAAAACATATTTACATTCCTGCCGTGCTCGGTGCCGGCACACACCTGTACGTGTGTGGGTGTGCATGTATGGGGTGCAAGCGTTTATATTCCTGTGCTTTTAGAGTCAGTAGTCCTGCCTGGAGTCGTGGGAATGGTCCAGCAACCGATGGAGGTAACAGGGATGTGTGGGACAGTCAGGGGTTACAATGGGGAGAGGAGAAGAAATCCAATGGATTCCCCCTCTGCCAAGCAGGAGTATAATCCCCATATAGAGAGATTCTGTATTTTGTCTGAATCGGAAGGTCTGGGCTGAATGCTCCCTTTTAAAATTCATTGACGTTTGCATGGAAACCAGAAAAATGGGCTTAAGTCAAGAATGCAATAACCTCACTCAAAACTGCTCTCCATGGCAGGCACTCATCCGCTTCCAGCCGTTCTGCTCACGGGAAGATAAATGGAGGAGTGGAATCCTGGGTATGGCTGCATGGGAGCGGGCTTAGAATACACTGGGAGATGCACAACAGCTCTTCCAGGCACGTTTCCCCCCACTCCCTCCATGATAAATGGCAGCCAGACATTGCCTGGTTCAGTTTGGGGGGAAAAAGAGTCGTGCAGGACAACTGGATAGTTGAGCAGGGATTCCTGAACCCAGGCCAAGGGAGAGCGGGGCGCTCACGTGGCGCTGGCACCGTGCCCGCTTCCAGCTGCCGAGCTTCATTAGGAGACAGCCAAAATACATTAATTAGTCTTCTAACATAACTCTCCTGTGCAGGCAGTGCTGCGGCTTCCACAGGGCCAGAGGAGATGGCCTGTAGATGGTGACAATGGTGGAACCTCCTCAACACGTGTGCCCTGCCTGAGGCTTGCAGGAGTGCCCCGGGGTGGTGGGATGGTGCTGGGGAGAGCAGAGCACAGGAGGCAGCCTGCTGTAGGGTTGGGCTTTCCCAAAGTCCAGCGTGCCTTCAGAGCCAGGGCTGTTTTGTGTAGGAGGTTGTAGCCAGGTGGGGATCGTGTCCTCTCCTGACAACAGGTGACAGGACAAAAAGAAATGGCCTCAAGTTTGCACCAGGGGAGGTTTAGGTTGGATATTGGAGAAAATTTCTTCCCTGGAAGAAGAGTGGAGTCCCCATCCCCAGGGGGACTTAACAGCTGTGTGGCACTTGGGGACATGGGTTAGAGGTGGCATTGGCAGTGCTGGGGAAGAGTTGGACTCAATGATCTTAGAGGGCTTTTCCAACCTGAATAATTCTGTGATTTCTCCCATGATTTTGTTTCTGTATGAAGTATCCCTCTGACAGATGTCCCCAGCAGTGATTTCAGACAAATACCCTAAAATGGCTACATCTGTGTTCCTCCTGCAGGGCAGCCAGAAGAGACACCCACAAATGCCCCCAGGTAATCCCTGCTCCCATTACAAAACCACGTGTAAAAATTCTGCAGAAACCCAAGGAAAAAATCGTGCTCAGTCTAATCATGAGTTTACCTTTTCTCCAGAAGCTTTCTGAGCTTTCAGGCACTTAATGGAAACACCAGTGCTCACACTTGGAGGGCAGGCTGGAAAGTTTGCGTGGGCTTGTGTGTGTGCCAGGGAGTCAATTTTTGTCCGTCAGAAGCCTCTTTCCATTTTGCTTTTGTCAGACTTTGCCTCTGTAAAGGGAAATTTGGACTTTCCATGTCAAAGCCCTCTGCAAATGTTACCCAAGACCTCTCATCAGTGCTGTAGTTTGTACAGGAACACCTCCCAGTGCTTGCCCAGGAGCGGGGAAGGCAGTTCTAACACTCTGCCCTTTGAGGGAAATGTCTGTTCTTTGGGATTCCTTATTCTTTCCTCCCTCAGCGTTCAGCATTTCGGATGCAGGCTCATGCTCCTGCTCTCTTTAACAGCCTGTTTTTCCTCTAACCACTTCCAGCTCCAAAACCTCTCCACATCTTCTCAATGTAAATACACTTTGCCCAGAGCAGGCTGGGGAGACAGTGGTGACCTTCAGCTGAGAGCAGAGCGTCTCAGCTTGACCTACTTTGCTGCAGAGTGGGTTTGGCCGGGGCAGGGCAGCTCTCTGCTCCCTGCCCTCCTCTTGGGAAAGGTCCTGGGGAGATGCCCTGGGTGAGTGGGAGAGCAGGGCTTAAGGAGATGGAAACTTCAGGCTCTGAGCTGAGGTGATGTGTGGGGAGCTGGGTGCTGGCTTTCACCCCAGTGCCAACTTTTATATTTGCAGCTTTAGATGTTTGTACCTTTAAAACATCTGCCACAGGTCAGGAACACAAAATGCCCATCACAAAATACTAATTTTTCATTCACTGCCACATTTTTTTCTCTGCTTTCCTCAAGGCTGGTTGTGTGAAGGCAGCAGCTGCAGGAGGAGCCAGGCTGCCGTGGTTCTTCCCAGGGCTCCTTGGCTGCACCAAGAAAAGCCATGGTTGCTTTGTCAGGTCTCCCTTGTCCTCTGTAAGAACTTCTGGGCAATGCCAGTGCAGCTGTGGCTTTGCCTGGGTGGCACAGGGTGCCCAGAGAAGCCGTGGCTGCCCCATCCCTGGCAGTGTCCAAGGCCAGGCTGGAGTAACCTGAGCTAGTGGAAGGTGTCCCTGCACTTTAGGGTTACTTAGTTCTTTAGATCTGGCCATGTTCTGCAGTACTGGTTTCTCAGGAGGGCTGTGGGGTGGCCCCTCTGCAAGTACAATTGTCTTTTGTTAGGGGACATGTGTCTTTAAAATCAAGTTCTCTCCTTATCTCAAGTTTAAAGTGCAAAATTCCCAGGTTGGAAGCAAGTTAAAATTTCCTGTTCCAGCTGCATCTGCATTCAGTCTTGGAAGCAGATACTTGGCTGTAATTCTAAAAAAAAAAAAAAAAAAAAAAAAAAAAAAAAAAAAAAAAAAAAATTGATATTGCAGGTAAGAAGGAGCAACTGAGGAAAAATCCTTTCAGAAGCCCTTCAAGCAGCTTTCAGGATAATTTTCACTTATTTCTGAATAATTCCTACTACTGGTCACCCAATAAAAATAACAAACCCAAACTCAACCCTCAACCCCACGTCCCTGCTGATAAACACCGTGGACTTGCTCGTAGCTTATCTAAGGCCTGAACATCTGTTTCTGCCTGGCTGAGAGGTTCCCTTGGATGAGTTAATGCAATTCCCTATGCAAAGGTTAAACAAAGTTGAGAGGCTCCAGCCAGTGGCTTTGTGCCACGGGGCCTGTGCTGCACCAGCAGCTTCACTGTGAAATGTCCCATGGTGGAAGAAGGAAGGAGGGGAAGAAGCTCAGGAGGGGAAAGGAGTCACCAGCCTCAGCCTGGGTTGCAGCAGGGTTGGACTTGGTGTTCTCAGAGGGCTTTTCCAGCCTTGATGATCCTGTGAGCTCTCTAGACTCTCTGGGCTTATTGATTCTGAGCTTTCTAGATACTCCAGTGTGGAAAGGGTGCTTGGAGTGTGCTCTCCCCGGGTCTGAAGAGCTGGGGCTGAGCTCTGCTCCTGCTTCCTCCTGCCTGGGCAGTGCCACCAGCTTCCCATGGAACAGGCTTGGAAGCTGTAGGCCTCTTCTTGGTGGTTTGTGTGCATGGGATTATTTACATTTTTGATTATTTAATAGGGTTATTTACATTTTTGATTATTTAATACTGTTTTCTGTCCTGGACAGCAGGACCTTTTATGGCTGGGAGAGCTGGAGGTGGGAAGGGCTGCAGGGTGATGGCAGCACCGACTCCTGGAGCTGCTGGGCTGGGCTGAGCCCTGGGGGCTGCCAGAGGTGCTCCAAGTGACAGACAGCTCTTCCACGGGGATGTCACCCAGGCACGGGGGTTGTCACCCAGCTGTAACCCTGTGGTGAGACCAGGGGGATGAAGGATGAAGGACTGGGATGAAGGATTCCCATCCCGCTGCCCCTCTCCTCCATCCCCATCGCTCCCCCTGGCAGGGGCAGCCACAGCAGGTCCCTGCAGCCCGGGATCCACCCTGGGGCTGTGCCCTGCTCCAGGAGCTGTTCCCAAACACCACATCCACACTTTTACTTCTGTGCCCTTTCCTTTCTGTCTCGGCTTTCAGCTCCTCTGGCTCCACATCCTGCGGGGCTGCACTTCACACACGGAGCAGAAGCATCAAAGAGGAGATCCTGAATAAAGCCCCCACTTTATGACATCTCTTCAAAGTGCCTTTTTAAGAGTTCAAAGGACACGAGGAAAGGAGGGGATCAAAATCAAAGGAAGATTTGGGGGAGGGAAATGAAAGCCTCAGAGGAACTTTATGGCAAGTTTTCTGTAACACTTTCAATGCCAAAATCACAAATTCTCCCAGCACTGACTCTTCTCTGGCTGTCAGGTTTCCTGTTTACCTGCACTGGATTCAGGGCAGCCCAGCAGCTCTGGGTGCCTTCAGTCCCACACACAGGCACAGGGCACCCACAATTTCACTTTTTCATTCATTTCTTTGTAAGACCAAAAGTTGCCATTCTGGTCCTTCAGGCCAAGGGGGAGATGTTTGTTCTGAACTGCCTGGAAGTCCTTGGGCTGACAGCAGAACTCACCTCCTATGCAAATCCTTTTTTTTACTTTCAGGAAATGCATCTCGCTCTTCTCTTACTGTCTTCTACTGCAGGACCATCATTATATCCATGTTTGGGAAATTTCCCTTACTGCTGGGGGAAAGGGACTTCTCCTGAGTGAAGACTGTGGGATCTGACTTGAAGCAAGACAAGAGAAGCAAAGCCTCTGTATGAACATCACAGGTAACATCTACAGGCTCTGCTTTGCAGGGAAGAAACGCAAATCACTGAGATATAAAGTGCTTAATATTCACTTATCTCTCATAATTTTATCTGTTTCATGTCTGTTTTAAAACAGAATAGAAGAAAAAAGTGATGTACAAAGCAAGGAAAAGAGATCAGGCCGGTTTCAGCTCAGGATCAAACCCTTGGTAATGCTGGGCTGAGGTGAGCTGGAGCCACACCCCTGCTGAGAGGAGCAGAGTGGGGCAGGGATGAAGCTGGACACGACTGGGATGCACATCATGCTTTTCCAGGCCGTGTTACAATTTGGGGAGCTTTCAGGAAATGAATGGAGAGACTGAGAAAACAAGTTAATTATCTGAGAAAACAAAGTGGGTGTTGGTGGAGGGAGGGAAGGCTCAGGCTCCGAGGAGCTGTGGAGTTTCCTTGGGGCTCCTTGAGCTGTGCAGGAGCAGCCTGTGGCTCCAGTTTGCTGCTCCCATGTTTAAACCATCAGTTAACAAATGCATTTCCTCCACAGGGGAACTGTTTTCTCATCCCACTGCCTTTCCAGAATCCACAGTGTGTGTTCCTGCAGGAATTCTCAGCCCTTGTCCTGCCCAGGTGAGCTCACCTGCGCCAAGTGCTTTGCCCATGGATCCTTTCCAGGGCTGCTGCTCAGAGAATGGCACAAAGCTGCTGCTGAACTCCCTTCTCATTAATTCATCCTCCTGGTTTTGATATACTGAACTGCACACCTTGCACTCTGTGCTCTGCTCCAGGCAGGCACCCAAAGGGGTCTGGAGTGGTGCAAATATGGGAGATGAAAATCAGCGTGTGCTGGACTGTGGTGGAGGTCTGGTGCTGTGCTCTGTGGGTGATGGTCTGGAGGACAACTACTGCCAAAAAACCAAATTAAATTGCTTGTTTTTCGCCCAGAGAGGTCCCAGTTTCACTAATTACCACAGTAAAGGGCACCTCAAGGTGAAAATCAGTAAGTGTTTAATATATCTCAGCAAAAAGATAGTTTCATTCACTGGTAACTGTAAGGGGAAATCTAAGGCATGTGGAGTCACTAATCAGATTGGAACTTGCCTCGCAGACTGGGGCTAGGGCCTGTAAGGTTTGTTTACAAGAGGGGATTTGCATCAAGGAGAGACTCCTTAATGCAGGCTCTTTGCATTAATTGGTTTGGAGCTGGCCTGCCTCAATGAACAGATGGCTTTACTCCCCTCACGGTGCTCCAGGCCACGTGGGGGGATTTCCTTTCCAAACACGCCGTGGGCAGTGGGGACAGGCACACAAAGTCCCGTCCTGTGCTGTGCCAGGCTGGCAGTGCCTGGTGGGGAAGGGGCACCAGGGGCTCACCAGGGGCTCACCAGCCCCATGGCTGCTCGCTCAGCATCCCATAATAGCACTGCTGTTAAAGGGGGGGACAGTGTCCAGGAGGATCCTAACGTCTTCCCATGGGAACAGGGAGCCTGGGGACTTCCATCCACCTCACCCAGAAACAGAAAGGGCTGCTTTGAGTTCCCTTCTTGTTCAGGGCCAGGCTGGGCTGGGAATGTTCCTGGAGCTGGGAATGCTCCTGGGGCTGGGAATGTTCCTGGAGTTGGGAATGTTCCTGGGGCTGGGATTGTTCCTGGGGCTGGGAATGTTCCTGGGGCTGGGAATGCTCCTGGGGCTGGGAATGTTCCTGGGGCTGGGAATGCTCCTGGGGCTGGGAATGCTCCTGGGGCTGGGAATGTTCCTGGAGCTGGGAATGCTCCTGAGGTTGGGAATGCTCCTGGGGCTGGGATTGTTCCTGGAGTTGGGAATGCTCCTGGGGCTGGGAATGTTCCTGGAGCTGGGAATGCTCCTGGGGCTGGGAATGCTCCTGGAGCTGGGAATATTCCTGGAGCTGGGAATGCTCCTGGATCTGGGAATGCTCCTGGGGCTGGGCTGTTGTCCCTGCTGAGGAAGAGCAGTGACTCAGTGGGGCTGAAGGCATCCCTGGGTGATGTCTGTGCGTCCTCCTGGCTCTGGGACACGCAGTTCCTCCCTGCTGGTGCCGCCTCAGCGGGGCACTGGAGCTGTTTGCTCCTGGAGCAGGAGCCCTTGGAGCAGCTCTGTGGCCTCCTCTGGACTCAGGCCAGCAGCTCAGGTCCTTCCTGGGCTGGGGACCCAGGGCTGGACACTGGGCTCCAGGTGGGAGAAGAGAGAAGGAGAGGAGAAGAGGGAGGAATCCCCTCCCTCCACCTGTGCCCACCCTGCTCTCAGAGCAGCCCAGGGCACCCCTGGTTTTGGATAACGAAGGCTTGGTGCTCCTGGCAGCACCAGGGGCTCTCACAAAGCTGCAGGTGGAGGAGATGTTAATTGGGCAGACGTGGAGCAGGTGGGCTGCAGCATGGCCTCGCTTCCAGGTCTGTGCCGGGTCCTACTTGATTTTATTTTTGTCAGTGTTGCTAAGAGATGATTCCCCCTGGAAGCTGCAGGACCCACACAGATGCAAACTGGTTGAGGAGGGTGGGAGGCTCCCTGAAACCCAAAGGGAAACAAAAATCTGGGAATCCTCAGCCAGCTGCACACAGGCACTCCCAGAAAACCAGTGCTGGGCACAGGGTATGGCCGTTTCCCAGGATGGTCCTGGAGCGTGGCACCTCCTGGCACTGTTTGCAGTGAGTGTCCTTTCCTAATGAAACTGCTTTTTTGTGCTATTCGTAGGCTGCAAATGGCTATGCACATTCCTAAATATTTTCCTACTTCCCTTTTCGGATGTCTAACATTATGTATTATTTTCTGATACTTACCTAACCCGGGAAATCTGTTTTCCATCTCGCTTCAGCCAAGGTTTTCTTTTTAACCAGTCCTTCCCAGTATTTTCCTTTAACACTTCTGGTTCGCTAAGTGAACTTTGCAGTGTGAGGGTAAATGAAAGTGAAAATGTATTGCTTGTCACACACAGGCTGTTTAGAGAGGGTTTGGGTTTTTTTTTTTTTTTCCCTCTGGATTTGAAGAGGGACATATAAATCACTGATTTAAAAGCAAGGTAATTTAACAAGATTATAGGAGAGGGAAAATCCACTTCCTACCCAAAGTTACAGTCTCTTAGGTCTCTCCACCTACACAAGCCATATGCATCCTCTGAGCTGCCCAAGATCCTCTTTTGTGTTTTTCTGGCAGGACTGTGGTGTAGTAATTGTACATCCATATGCAAAGCTTTCTTTGTGGCTCTCTTAATTACTTTGTAATTGGTCAGAGAGTTACCATCCCTCAGCCCCCAGCCTCCTCTCTGTGTCCCAGACCTGAAGGGATGTTCACAGCTCACAGCCCCAGACCAGAGGGATATGATCAGGGGTGGCCTTTTTGTGCCATCTCCCTTTTTCAGCAGCACCAGCAAGCTGTGCTTTTCCTGCTTTTCCTGCTTTTCCTGCTTTTCCTGCTTTTCCTGCTTTTCCTTGCTGGGGTGAAGCTCTGGGGCGGGGGGAGCAGAAGGATTTGTGCTGCAGCAGTGCAGGGGGATGCTGCAGGGCTCTGCATCGGAGCAAAGGGGTGGAGAGAGGGATGGAGAAGGGAATGCTCATCCCTGGCTGGAGTTCTGGTTTCCAGTCATGGGAAGCCTTTGTGCTGACCCTGGGGGAGCATGGCATAACAGCTCCTCACTCAGAGCACTGGCACACCTAAAACTCAGGCTGGGCTTAGTGGCCTCACCCAAACTCACTCGTCCTTGCCGTGATGTTCTCCCTTCTCCTCAGGGGTGGTGGTTCCCAGGCTACCCAGGGCAGGATGCTGAGGCTGTGTCTGTGTTTGAGGCCAAATTCTGAGTTCTAGAAACAGGTACAGCCCCAGCTCTGTGGCTCTGCCACACCTGAGCAGGTATCACATGAAATACCCTCAAAATAACAGATATCCTGCTCTTGTTATTCCCATTCTCGCTGGGAGTCAGGACTCCCACCAGGCACAGGGACTGGAACCAAGAGATCTTTTTAATGGATGGAGCAAACCACACATAATCCTTTGATTCTGGGAGCTGGAACTCAAAGCCCAGCTCCTGTAACACAAACATGGGCATCTCTTGGGTTGTCAGTTCAGCAGGAATATGTCACCAAGAGAGGTGTCTTGGAGCCTGCCTTGCTCCCACTGGCAGGACAGGCTTCCAGTAATGAATTTCCAATGAAGTGTTTTTCTAATTATAGCAAATTATTTTTACAAACATTTTCCTGGGAAGAGAGTTTGAAACTAGAGCCAGAAAGGAGAAGACGGAAATTTAGGCAGTGCCTGAAAAAAAAAAAATTAAAGATGGATTGCATGCTAGTTGGCTTTTATTATCAGGCCAACCTGTAAACTTCAATTTAATGGGTTTTAAGGAACTTTATTCCAATGTGAGTTCCAGTTTGTGTCATTGAAAATTGGAATGGCTTAGAGCAGTGCCATCAAACCCAGCCAGCTCTTTCCTCTCCCCACAGGACTCCCTGGCACTGGAGAAGGGTGGGTGGCAGAGGTGACATCCAGCAGCAGGACACTGGTACAGCCTGAGCAGAATCTCTTGTCCAACAGCCCCCAAGGCAAATAATTTTGTATTTATTCTCCTTTCTGAATTCTGCAGTGAACTTCTGTTTCTTTTCCAGAACAGAGCCACCTTCCAGTCGCAAATTCTCTTGGTTTTGGGGGAGAAGAAGGAGTAATTCTTAGGTAGCACTAAGAGAAGTGTGAGCAGCCATGCCTGGTTGCCCTACAAACACAAAGGCAGCATGTTTGTGCCAGTGGAGAGGGCCCAGCTGTGGCAGGCTCAGTGCTCCCTGCTCTCTTTTCCAGGAGAGATTCCCACTGGAAGCACAGGGGCTGGCAGTACCATGCTGCTTGTGAGCATGCCTATCTTCCCATGGCTCAGCTGGGGAATTTAATTAGAAGT